CAGGATGCCTTGTGGGCTGTAACTGGGGAGGGAGGTGGGTGAAGGGTTAATGACCCCTTGGGAACAGGATGCCCTTGTGGGCTGTAACTGGGGAGAGGGTGCTGACATCTTATCAACAGAGCTGAACCTGTTGAGCTATACACTTGGTTTGAAAGGGGCTGCTAGCAGATTCACTTAGAATGGACGTATTCATATTGAAACTGAGCTTCAAGGCCAGGTTTCTCAATACTATTTCCAAGCATTGCGAGCTGTAATTAACTTTCAATATCACACTACTGTCTAACTGCTGGAACAGGACTCGGAGCTGGGTGGAAGTGGTGACGGTGGAGAGATTTAGTTTGGGGTTGGGGGGGAAGGGTTGCTGTTGGTGGAATTGATTGCAAAAGTCTCATAAACAATTTTGTTTGACTTTGTCCGCTCAGGTTTCTGTTCCTCGCCATCTGAGGACTGGAATAGGCCTTTATCAGAAACCACAAGCGATATCCTGCGGGGACTGGGTCAAATGTCAACAACTCACTCCCTTGTCCTTCAGCTTCGGCTTTCGGCATCACCGTCCCCACCCTCATCCGCCCCCTGTCCTCCTCCCAGTCCTGCTTCCGAAAGCTCCCTCTCAAATACCCCAGAGAATCCCACGAGACCATCAGATGTAGGAGAATGAGGCCATTCAGCCCATTGATTCAGCTCTGCCTTTCGATCATGGCTGATATGTTTCTCAATCCCATTCTCCTGCCTTCTCCCGGTTACCCTTAAACCCCTTACTCATCGAGAGCCTACCTACCTCTGTCTTAAACACACTCAATGACTTGGCCTCCCCAGCCCCTCTGAGTTAATGAGTTCCACAGATTCACACCCCTCTGGCTGAAGAAATTCCTCCTCATCTCTGCTCTAACGGGTCATCCCTTCACCCTGAGGCTGTGCCCTCAGGTCCCAGTCTCTCCCACTGGTGGAAACATCTTCTCCACGTCCACCCTATCCAGGCCCCTCAGTATTCTCTAAGTTTCAGTCAGATTGTGCCCCATCCTTCTGAACTCCACTGAGTATAGACCCAAAGTCCTCAACTGCTCCTCATATGACAAGCTCTTCATCCATGGGATCGTTCTTGTAAGCCTCTTATAAGGCCAGCACCTCCTTCCTTAGATACAGGGCCCACTATATTCCAAACGCGGTCTGACCAGAGCCTTATACAGCCTCAGCAATACATCCCTGCCCTTGTATTCCAGCCCTCTTGAAATGAATGCCAACATAGCATTTCCTTCCCAACTGTCAACTGAACCTGCAAGTCCAGTTCCTTGGAATGAAAATCACCAACAAACTCTCCTGCACTACCCTACATAGATGTGACGGTCAAGAAGGCTCAACAAGGCCTCTGAGATAACAAGATGTAGAGCTGGATGAACACAGCAGGCCAAGCAGCATCAGAGGAGCAGGAAGGCTGACGTTTTGGGCCTAGACCCTTCTTCAGAATTTTTTTTTTCCTCTTCTTCCTCAGGTGGATTAGGAAATTTGGCACATCCAGAGGGACCCTCAGCAACTTCTACAGAGGCACCAAAGAAAGTAATATATCTGGGTACACCACCAGCAAGGACCGTAAGAAACTACAGAAGGTTGTGAACACAGCCCAGACCATCACACAAGACAACCCATTCACTCCACTTACACCTCTTGCTACCTTGGAAAGGCAACATCCCTCCCACACTGGCTCTAATATCTTCCAATCTCTTCCATCAGGCAGAAGATAGAAAAGTTTAAACACACGTACGGACAGATTGAAGAACAGCTTCTTCCTTGCTGTTATTAGAGTCCTGAATGGACCTCTCAAATTTCAAATTGAATGTTCATCTTGCTTTTTGTGCACCTTCTCTGCAGCTATAACTTTGTATTCCTCTCTCTGTTCCATCACCCGATGATCTTTGTATGCAATGATCTGCTCCACTGCACGCAGAACAAAACTTTTCACTGTACTTAGGTGTATGTGACAAGAATAAATTCAATCAAATTAACTCTAAGGCAATCCTGAACTAGGACTCCCAAGTCCCTTTGTGCTTCAGATTTCTCATTCTTCCTACCTAAGAGCATAACCTCACACTTTCCCACATTGTATTCCATCTGCCAATCCCTGGCCCACTCTCCCAGCCTGTCCTAGTCCTTCTGGAGCTCCTCACTTCCTCAACACTATCTGTCCCTCCACCTCCTATCTTGGTGATATCTGAAAGTTTAGTAACAACGTCCTCAGTTCCTTTGTCCATATCGTTAATGTATGATGTGAATAGTTGTGGTCCCAACACTGACCCCCTGCAGAACTCCAATAGTCACCGGCTGCGATCCTGAAAAAGACCCCTTTATCCCCGCACTCTGCCTTCTGCAAGTCAGCCATTCCTCTGTCTATGCCAGTACCTTGCCCCCTAACACCATGGGCTCTTAGTCAGCAGCTTCCTGTGTGGCACCTTGTCAAAGACCTTCTGGAAACACAAATAGATCACGTCTGCTGGCTCTCCCTTGTCTAACTTGCTTGTTACCTCCTCAAAGAATTCTAACACATTTTCAGGCATGACAAAGCTGTGCTGACTCAGTCGTGTTTTACCATGCACTTTCAAGTACTCCACAATCTCATCCTTAATAATGCACTCCGAAACCTTACCAATGACCATGGCCAGCCTAACCACCCTATAGTTTTCTGTCTTCTGCCTCCCTCCCTTCTTAAACAGGGGTGTTATATTAGCCTCCCTAACTCCACTGATTCCTGAAAGATCACCACGAATACCTCTAAAATCTCCTCAGCTATCTCCTTCAGAACTCTGAAATATAGTCCATTAGTATGAAAACCGAAAGAATTGCGGACACTGTAAATCAGGAACAAAAACAGAAGTTGCTGCAAAAGCTCAGCAGATCCAGCAGCATCTGTGAAGGAAAAAACAAAGTTAACATTTTGGGTCCGTTGATCCTTCCTTATTAGTATGTCTGGTCAGTACACACTGCATATTATTAGTGGAAGAGGTGAATGTTTAAGTTTCCAATTAAGTAGCTGCTTTGTACTGGATGGTTTCGAGCTGCTTGAGTGTTGTTGGAGCTGCCCCCATCCAGGGGCAAGTGGGGAGTATTCCATCCCACTCCTGACTTGTGTATTGTCAATGGTGGGACAAGCTTTGGGGGGAGTCAGGAGGGGAGTTACTCGCTGCAGGATTCCCAGCCTCTGACCTGCTTTTGTAACCACTTTATTTCTATGGCTGCTCCAGCTCAGTTTCTGGTCAATGGTAAACCCCTGGATGTTGATAGTGGGGGGATTCAGTGATGTTAACGCTATTGAATGTTAAGGGTACAGGGTTGAAATCATATTTGGGTCAGATCAGAAAAAGGCCAGTAGACCCTTCACTTTACAGATAAAAGTGAATCACAGAATTGTTACAGTGCAGAAGGCCATTCGGCCAATCTGACTGTAAACTTTCCCAACATTGATTAAAAACAGTCTTGAAGCTGTTGAGCTAAAACCGTCGCAGCGGAACTAACATTATTGTTCTCCTCACACCACACTAATGACTATATCCTTCACAGTGTGTGGAAAAAAGCCTCAATTCATCACAGAGGTAGGCCATTTGGCCCTTCAAACCTTTTCCTGTTCCTGTTTCTTATGGTCTTATTGACATAGAGCAGTACAACACATGATCAGGCCCTTTGGCCCACCATGTCTGCACCAACCATGATGCCATTCTAAACTCATTCCATCTGCCTGCAGATGATCCATATCCCTCTCTTCCAAATGCCTCTTAAATGTCGCTATCATACCTGCTTCTATCAGCTCCCTGATCAGCCCCTTCCAAGAACTTACCAACCTCTGTGTAAAAAAAAACTTGCCGTGCACATCTCCTTTAAACTTTCCCCCACTCGCTTTAAATTGATGCCCCCTAGTATATGATATTTCTGCCACTCCGAATATGCATCTTATCCATGTCCCTTATAATCCGACGTACTTCTGTCAGGTCGACCCATGAGTCTTCAATACTTCAGCGAAAACAGTTGCCCAGGGACAGAGAGGGATAGATGGGCTGATTGGCCTCCTCCTGGACTGTCAATGATTCGAAACCAGTGCAAACTGGAACCAGCTCTCAGGCTTGAGTTTGTCACCATCAGAGGTACTTACACAGGCACAGGTACAATGATTTCTAGTCAACTCCAGAGCAAGCCTTGGCCTAGTGGTATTATCCCTAGATTGTTAACCCAGCTAATGTCCCCGGAATCTGGGTTCGAATCCTGCCATGGCAAATTGTAGAATTTGAATTCAATATAAATCTGGAATTAAGAGTCTCATGATGAAACTATTGGAGATTAGTGCTTTGAGGTAGCTATTACGAGGGGGCACAGTTTTAAAGTGAGTGGAGGTAGATACAGGGGAGATGTCAGAGGTAGGTTCTTTACTCAGAGAATGGTAGGGGCGTGGAATGCATTGCCAGGAGGGTAGTGGAGTCGGCCTCATTAGGGGCATTTAAGCGGCTATTAGATAGGCATATGGATGATAGAATAAGGTAGGGGTGGAGGTTAGATAGACCTTAGGTTTAGGGTAAAAGTTCGGCACAACATCGTGGGCCGAAGGTGCTGTACAGTTCTATGTTCTATGCTTCACTAATAGGGAATGAAACTGCCATCCTTACCTGGTTTGGCTTACATGTGACTCCAGACCCACAGCGATGTGGTTGACTCTCAACAGCCCTCTGGGATGCCCAATAAATGCTGACCCAACGAAGTGGGGGGTGCAATTCCTAAACTGAGCGCCAAACCCCGTCAGCATTGATCGACCGGCGGCTATTTAAATGCAGAAACATTTGTCAGCTTTCTGCTCGGTTGCGGTCGCATCTGAGTCAGTCAGATGAAAGCAATGCGTGCATTCCCCATCCTACCACTTCCTGAATCATTTCCTTGCTCGGTGTAGGGCAGAGGCTACGTGCAAATTTTCCAGCCAATTCCACATTCTCCCCCACCCCACACGACAGACAAGTTTGATCCAAGGGGCGGTTGGATGTAGGTTTTCTTTAGCCAACACAAGAGAAAAGGCCACTTTGCAGGGATGCCAGGCGCTACCTCAATGCAGCTGGGCAAAACACTCAAAGTCGTATTCTGACTTTTGAGGTTCGTGAAGGGTTCTGGAATAAACCTGGACCTTATTTTCGACTCTCAAGAGGGTCTACAACACCGTTCCCAGTCATTTTGCGATTCCAAATGTTGTCTGCGTCTCCCAGAAGCAAAAATATTGCGGATTCCAGAAAGCTGAAGGCAGTTTTGTCTCCTCTGACTGCCAGATATTCGGAGTCCGTTTGCTTGCTTCAACACAGCTAAACTGGCCAAATGCACCATCTACCTGTCACACCTTAAAGAGCGAGCTCCAGGCTCTTGCAAATGAAGTACTGGCAATGGATTTAATGTGTCAGATTTTGGTTATCCAGCTGGCTACATGCACAGGTAGGTTTTCTGAACTTAAACTCTCTCTCATTTGATCTCTCGCATCTCTAGCCATGGAGGTGAGGGGTGGGGAGTGGGATTACCCTTTGTTAAACGATCTACAAGTCAGACTAAAGGAGCAATCTAGAGTCATATAGCACCTTCGGCCCAACTCGTCCATGCTAGCAAGATTTCTCCAACTGAACTATAGTCCCATTTGCCTCTGAACCTATTCTTAAGGATCACTGGACTCCATACCTTAACTCTGCTTTCTCTCCACACATCCTGCCTGACCCGCCGAGTTTCTTCAGCAATTTCTTTGTTTCTGATTTCCAGCATCTGCAGTTCTGAGGAAGGGTCACCGGACCCGAAACGTTAACTCTGTTTTCTCCTTCACAGATGCTGCCAGACCTGCTGAGCTTTTCCAGCAACTTTGTTTTTGCTCCTGATTTACAGCATCCGCAGTTCTTTCGTTTTTCTTTCTCTTCCCTCTCTAAACCCTTCCTATTCATGTACCTGTCCAAATGCCTTTTAAATGTTGTCATTGTACCAGCCTCTACCACTTCCTCTGGCAGCTCCTTCCATACACACACCACTTTCTGCGCGAAAAAAGTTGACCCTCAGGTCCCTTTTAAATCTTGAACACAAACAGAAGTTGCTGGAAAAGCTCAGCAGGTCTGGCAGCGTCTGTGAAGGCAAAAAACAGGGTTAACATTTCGGGTCCGGAGACCCTTCCTCAGAATCTCTCCAGTCTCACGTTAAACCTATGTTTTTGGACTCCCCTACCCTGTGGAAAAGAACCTTCCTATTTACCTTACCTGTGTCCCTCATGATTTTATTTACTTTTGTCAGGTCAGCCCTCAGCTTTCGACGTTTGAGGGAAAAATGTCCCAGCCTCTCCTTGTAACTCAAACCCTCTGTTCTCAGTAACTTCTCTGTAAATCATTTTTGAACTCTTTCCAGTTTACTAACATCCTTCTTATGTCATCTTTGTTCCTTCCAGCCCATGTTTTGGAGGTTCGGAATTGACATCTAAATAATGTGATAAATATACAGCACGTTGCCCTGGGGTAAAGTCAGACGCCACATGGCTTTTTGGTTAAATTCATTCACAAGATAAGGGCGTCGCTATTTAGGCAGCATTTATTGTCCATCCCTAATTGCCCAGAGGGCAGCTAAGAGTCAACCACATTGCTGTGGGTCTGGAGTCACATGTAGGCCAGACCAGGTAAGGATGGCAGTTTCCTTCCCTAAAGGACAGTAACGAACCAGATAGGATTCTCCCCCTGACAACAGATTTATGGTCATCACCAAACCCTTCATTCCAGATTTTTATTGAATTCCACCATCTGCTGTGGCAGGATTCGAACCCAGGTCCCCAGAACATTACCTGGGTCCCTGGATTAACAGTGCAGCGAACATACCTCCCGGGCATTGCCTCCCCTGACGAAGGAGCGAAACTCTGAAAGCTTGTGATTTCAGATAAACCTGTTGGACTACAACCTGGTGTTGTGTGATTTCTGACCTTGTTCAACCCCCACTCAAACTCCAGCACCAGCACCTCCACACCATCACTCATATGTCTACCTATTTTCGAGATAGTAGGAACTGCAGATGTTGGAAAATCCGAGACAACGAGGTGCAGAGCTGGATATCCTACCTATTTTATGTGTGTGTCTCTCCCTCTCTCTAAGGGCACCATCTCAGACTTCTCCCCTCCAACCCGCAGCCCCCTCTTCAGCTTCAATACCGCTTTTTCTGAGCTAATATCGGTTCTGATGAAGGATTGCTGAACTCAAAACATTAGTTCTGCTTCCTCTGCCCGCAGATGCAGCCAGAGCTGCTGAGTTTCTCCAGAACTTCTGTTTTTGTTTCTAATTTCTGGCATATGCACTTCTTGGTTTTATTTATGATAAAGAGACAGTAGGAGCTGCCGATGCTGGAGAATCTGAGGTAACAAGGTGTAGAGCTGGATGAACACAGCAGGCCAAGCAGCATCAGAGGAGCAGGAAAGCTGATGTTTCGGGTCTAGACCCTTTCCACTTATTCATGGGATGTGAGTGTCGCTGGCTGGGCCCAGCATTTATTGCCCGTCTCTAATTGCCCCCCTTGAGAATGTGATGTTGACCTGTTTTCTTGAACCGCTGCAGTCCACGTGCTGTGGGTTGACCCCCAATGCCCCCAGAGACAGAATTCCAGGATTTTGACCCAGTGACACTGAAGGAACGGCGATATACTTCCAAGTCAGGATGGTTAAATTCAATCACAGGCTGAGGGCATCGCTGGCTAGGCAGCATTTCTTGCCCATCCCTAATTGCCCAGAGGGCAGTTATCAGTCAACTGCATTGCTGTGGGTCTGGGGTGGCTCGGAGGGAAAGTTGCAGGGGGGTGGTGTTCCCATGTAAATGCTGCCCCTTGTCCTTCCAGATGGAAGTGGCCGTGGGTTTGGAAGGTGCTACCTGAGGATCTTTGGTGAGTTTCTGCAGCGCATCTTGTAGATGGTACACACTGCTGCTACTGACCGTCGGTAGGGGAGGGAGTGGGATGTTTGTGGATGTGGTGCCAATCGAGCAGGGGCTGCTCTGTCCTGGATGGTGTCGAGCTTCTTGAGTGTTTTGGGGCTGCCCCCATCCAGGGCAAGTGGGGAGTACTCCATCACCCTCCTGACTTGTGCCTTGTTGATGGTGGGACAGGCTTGGATAGACAGCCCCTGGAGTATTGTGTGCAGTTGAGGGTCTCCGTATATAAGGAAGGATGTTCTGGTGATGGGCGGGATGTCAGAAAGGTTTAACAGACTGATTCCTGGGATCGCAGGACTGACATATCAAGAGAGATTGAATTGCTAAGGACTATTCTCACTGGAGTTTAGAAGAACAGTGAGGATCTTATAGAAACTGATAAAATTCCCACAGGACCAGGCAGGGTAAATGCAGAAAGGAGGAACACAGGAGGCCAGGCAGCATCAGAGGAGCGGGAAAGTTGGTGTTTCGGGTCGGGACCCTTCTTCACATTGTGTTATCTCTGACTCCAGCACCTGCAACTCCTGCTATCTCCAAACCAGGAAGGATGTTCTCGAAGACCAGGAGAGTACAGAACCAGGGGGTCACAGTCTGAAGGAAATTGGGAAGGACTGAGATGAGGAGAAATGTCTTCACCCAGACAGTGGGGAACCTCAGGAATTCTCTGCCACAGAAAGCGGTTGAGGCCAAAACACTGAATGTGTACAAGAAGGAGTTGGAGATAGTCTTTAGGGCTAACGGGATCGAAAGGTATGGGGGAGACAGAGCAGGAACAGGGGCTGAGATGGATGATCAGCCACGTTTGAATTGAATGGGGGAGCAGGCTCGAAGGGCTGAATGGCCTACTCCAGCTCTTATTTTCTCTGTTTCCCGTTTGAGGAGAACAGGAAGTGAGTTACTTGCCACAAGAAAGCTCTGTTAAGCTTCAATTCAAACACGGTAGAACATCATCTGAAAGTAGCCCATTTTGATTCTGTGTGATGGTGAGCCTGTGCTGTCCTCATTGGAACCAGGAGAACTGAGACTGTATTTGTGAATACATTTGCGCCTTCCAATTGCAGTGTTTCACATCCTTCAGCATTTCAGACTGTTGTTTTCCTTTTGAGATTTAGGACATTATCTGCCAAGTTAGAAACTTTAATTATTGTTTGCTTCAATTTAATGATATCTAAAGCAGAAATTGCTGCTCAACAGCACAAATGTTGTGGAGAAAATTTAACTTTTAATATAACGATATTTGGGAGTCAATGTTGACTCATTTCCCTGTTGCTAACAGACAGAGCAGAACATTCCTAAATGCAAAATCAATTGCCTCACTACCTATATCTATTCAGACTCCTATCATGGAAGAGCTGAACATTATTTTTAAAAATGTATTGTCATCTCTCTTGATGCCTCTTCAAATTTGGCCAAATCCCTTCAGGATTGAGGACAGTGAAAGAATTCATCAATATCCTCATTTCCAAGTGGCAGAATTATAGAATTATTAAGGAAGATGTTTGGTCTATTGTGTCTGCACCTATCCAATGCCAACTCCCACTTTTATCTTCAACGGCTGCACCCTCTTTCTATCAAAATAACCATCGTGAACGCCTCAATTAACCTGCCTCCACTACATTTCTAGACAGCTCATATCAAACCCTAACCCAATTCATAAAGTAAACAACATACTCCCATCAGGGAAGGCAGTACTTTGTATCAAACTCCAGCTGCTAACTAAAATCCGAAAGAACTGTGGAAGCTGTAAATCAGGAACCAAAACAGAAGTTGCTGGAAAAGCTCAGCCGGTCTGGCAGCATCTTTGAAGGAAAAAACAAAGTTAACGTTTCGGGTCCGGTGTCCCTTCCTCAGAATGGACATGAAACTGTTAACTGTTTTTATCTTTCACAGATGCTGCCAGACCTGCTGAGTTTTTCCAGCAGCTTCTGTTTTTGTTCCAATTGCTAACTATATTTTTTCAGTGCATAGTCATAGAGCCACACAGCACAGAAGCAGACCCTTCGGCCGGACCAGTCCATACTGAACATAATCCCAAACTAAACTAGTCCCACCTGCCTGCTCCTGGCCCATATCCCTCAAAAACTTTCCTGTTCATGTACTTGTCCAAATGTCCTTTAAATGTTGCAACTGTACCCGCATTCACCACTTCCTCTGGAAGGTCATTCCAGGCACGAGCCACCCTCTGTGTAAATATTGCCCCTCATGTCCTTTTTAAAATCTCACTCCTCTCACCTTAAAAATGAATCTTGAAATCCCACATGACACGTACCATTAACTGTATCTATACCCCTTATTATTTTACAGCCTTCTATCAGGTCGCCTCTCAACCTCCTACACTCCAGTGAAAGAAGTCCCAGACTATTCAAACATTCTTTATAACTCAAACGTTCCATACCCGGCAACATCCTGATAAATGTGGTGCTTGTGTTGAGTCAGCTAGGTTGACCTCATAGAATATGAGTTCCCCGATTGGGGCTGTTAATCTGGTCCAATCAGGGAGCCGTGGCTGACAGATAGAAACAGGAGTGTCAGAGGTTTGGCTCACTCTGAGAGCTGGCTCTGAGGGAGCTGGGTCAGTGTCAGGGACTCTCCACGTGTAAATAAGGGGTGACTTGGTGACACGATACCAACCTCTGTGGAGGTATTTCACAGTATTTTCCTGAAACCGTTTTTTGCAGTCCCTGATCGAGTCATAGAGTGAGATAACACAGAAGTAGGCCCTTCGGCCCAACTAGTCCATGCCAAACAGGTTTCCTAAACTGAACTAGTCCCACTTGCCTGCATTTGGTCCATATCCCCCTAAACACTTCTTATCCATGTACCTGTCCAAATATCTTTTTATTTGTATGTAATTTTAATGTTGTAATTGTAACAGCCTCCACCACTTCCTCTGGAAGCTCATTCCATACCAGATGATTTATCATTGAAAATGGTGTCCAGAGCTGCTTACAACAAGCACTGAAAGAGATGAGGAAAGAGACGATAAGAAGGGACAGCTATTTCTGCCAATAATCCACCACCACGTATGCCGCTTACAACAGATATCCTCACTCTGCAAACCTTCAAAGCCAAGATGGGGCTCACAAGCCATCTGTGACTATACAGCCTACACTGACATATCGCTTCCACCCAAATGCAGAGTTTCACCACATTAAATGTGAATTTTTAATGCAGCATTGAATCCATAGCTTGGAAATTCAATTAATTGTGAACTGTGCTCCTGGTGTTTAAGTAAGGTGTTTGATAAGGTTCCCCATGGTAGGCTCATGCAGAAGGTAAGGAGACATGGGATAGGGGGATATGTGGCAGATTGGATTCAGAATTGGCTGACCCTGAGAAGACAAAGGGTGGTAGTGGACGGAAAATATTCAACATGGTGCTCAGTTATGAGTGGTGTACCACAAAGATCTGTCCTGGATCCTGTTCCTATTTGTGATTTTTGTAAATGATTTGGATGTAGGAGTGGAAGGGTGGATTGGTAAGTTCGCGGATGATACAAAAGTGGGTCAAGTTGTGGATAGTGTGGAGGGCTGGTCTAGGTTACAAAGGGACATTGATAGGATGCAGAGCTGGGCTGAGAAGTGGCAGATGGAGTTTAACCCTGAAAAGTGTGAGGTGATTCATTTTGGAAGGACAAACTTGAAAGCAGAATACAGGTTTAACGGAAAGATTCTTGGCAGTGTGGAGGAGCAGAGGGATCTTGGGGTTCATGTCCACAGTTCCCTGAAAGCTGCCACCCAGGTGGATAAAGTTGTTAAGAAGGCGTATAGTGTGTTAGCTTTCATTAATAGAGGGATTGAGTTCAAGAGCCGTGAAGTTATGCTCCAGCTATACAAAACCCTGGTTCGGCCACATCTACAGTATTGTGTCCAGTTCTGGTTGCCTCATTACAGGAAAGATGTGGAAGCATTGGAAAAGGTGCAGAGGAGATTTACCAGGATGTTGACCGTGGAATGGAGGGAAGGTCTTACGAGGAAAGGTTGAGAGAGCTAGGGCTTTTCTCTTTAGAACGATGAAGGATGAGAGGTGACTTGATAGAGGTGTATAAAATGATCAGAGATACAGATAGAGTGGACAGCCAGAGACTTTTTCCTTGGGTGGAGGTAACTATTACGAGGGGGCATAGTTTTAAAGTGAGTGGAGGTAGATATAGAGGAGACGTCAGAGGTAGGTTCTTTACTCAGAGAATGGTAGGGGCGTGGAATGCATTGCTAGAGAGGGAAGTGGAGTCGGCCTCATTATGGGCATTTAAGCGGCTATTAGATAGGCATATGGATGATAGAATAAGGTAGGGGTGGAGGTTAGATAGACCTTAGGTTTAGGGTAAAAGTTCAGCACAACATCGTGGGCCGAAGGGCCTGTACTGTGCTGTATTGTTCTATGTTCTATACACGCACCACCCTCTGTGTGAAAATGTTGACACTTGGGTTCCTTCTAAATCTTTCCCCTCTCACCTTAAACCTATGCCCCTCTAGTTTTGGACTCACCTACCCTGGGGGAAAAGACCTTGGGTATTCACCCTACCCAAGGCCATCATGATTTTATAAACCCTTATAAGGTCATCCCTCAGCCCCGACGCTCCAGGGAAAATAGTCCCAGCTTATTCAGCCTTCTCCTAAGTCTCAAATCCTCCAGTCTTTTTAACATCCTCGCAAATCTTTGCTGCACTCTTTCTGATTTAATAACATCCTTCCTATAGCCGGGTGACCAAAATTGTACAGAGTACTCCAAAAGTGGCCTGTTCATTCAGAAGAAAGGAGTCATGCTAGCTGTTCTTTCTTCAGCAATCTACCGAAGTTGGGTTTTTGCAGCCCTCGACGTTTGCTAATTAACCTTATTGAGGAGAAAAGGAGTCATCTCGAGTCCAATGTTTAAAACAAAAACTTGGACAATCTGCTTTGAACTTCTGCTAAATGCTCTCTCGGAAAAAAAATTTGGGTAAAAGTCTCGTTGGTGATGTATCCTCTTCATTGAGTGTTGTTATAGATCAGATCAAATCCCCTCAAAATATTCAGAACATAGTCTCGACCCTAAATTTTTCTTTTTTTAGGGGTAAAATACAGGGAGAAAGCGGGAGAATGGAATTGAGGAACTTATCAGCCATGATTGAATGGCGGAACAGACTCGATGGGCCGAATGGCCTAATTTCTGCTCCTGTGTCTTTTGCTCTTATAAAATGTGAGGTGCTGTGTTCCAGATGCAATTCGATTGGTCAGACGTAAAGCAAAACACCAAACACTATAGTTAAAATGCTGCAAAAGAAAGAAGGAATTGGAATAATTTAATTCTATTAGAAACCTTGACAGAATAATAGAGAAGGTAACTATGACTAATTAACTGTTCGAATGTGGTAACGTCCCGTACACACACCCTTGACAACAGGGAAATTCAGAAAACAGGTTGTCTCACATGCAACTCCCACAGCAAGAAAAAAAATCACAGATTTTAGCTGTGAGCAAGAGAGGGAGAAAATTGCTTTCACTTCTTTCAGACCCCAACAGCAACGCCTGAACGCTAAACTAAAAATCCTGGTTAGAACACAGAACTGTACAGCACAGTGCAGGCCCTTTGGCCCATGATGTTGTGCCGAACTTTTACCCTAAACCTAAGGTCTATCTAACCTCCACCCCGACCTTATTCTGTGAGAGCTCACTCACACTCGGTCAGGCTGCTTTTATTGTTCCAACTTCGAAAAGAAAATACCTCAAGGCCTCACAAGTTCTGTATCTGCTCAGAGACGGTTTCCCCTGTCTCTCTCTCTCTCTCTGCCTAAAAGAAACCCAGGACAAAATGCATGTCTGAAAGCCACGGCATTATGACAGTGTTATTTGTTTCTGTGCTCACAGAGGGATCAGTGATCACAGAGGGAGTCTCACTCTGTAATGTTTTCTGTATCCCACAGGAGCCGTGGCTCAGAGCATTGAAGCTGCTGCTTCGCTGATAGGGGTTGCCGGGGAGCAACTGAACCTGCCTTGCCAGTTCATCTATGATGTTACCAAACTTCGCGTTGTACAGGCCACTTGGTTGAAGCGTGCAGGCAGGGTGGATGAGAACATCGCTGTGTACAACCCTCTCCTCGGGATGAGTTACCCGACCATGTCTGGGAGGCTCAGGTTCCACAACGCCACATCTGGCAATTGTACACTGACCATCGACCCTCTGGAACTGGAGGACGAGGGCGCTTACAGTTGCGAAGTCAACGTCTTCCCTTCGGGGAAGTTTGAATCTCAGACCAGACTCACCATTCTAGGTGAGTGGGCGCATCGTGACTGCGTTTGCTTTCGTCCCGGCGCCAGCTTGTGCGGCATATCTCCCTCCCTCCCTCCCTTCTGGGAGGCAACGATCTGAGCACCGCCCCCCCTTCACCTCCACCAATGCTCCTGCAATGGATTGCCGGGATTCTCCTGTGCAAGTGATTCGCAGAGCGGTGAGTTCGACCAAAGGAGGGATCCCACGTCGCACGTCTGAACACGTGGAGTGGGCAATGGTGCTACGGCCAGAGGATCCCACAAGCAATGATATGATCCCAACCCGCCTCAGCCAGTTTCTGAGGAGGTTGGTGATGGGGGGGTGGTGCGCGATGTTGGTTTCGAGGGATAAATATCACCCACGCAGCAACAGGGTCTCGGTCGGCTGGGTTTCCGATGCAGCTCAACGCTAAAAGCCAAGGGTTCGATCCGCGCATTGACTGAGGCTGCTACAAAGGTCCCACTTTCTTGACCTCACTCCTTGTCCGAGGCATAGTGAATCTCAGGATAAACCCACCACCGGTCACCTCATTCCCATGAGAGAGAGAGAGGACTAGGGTGGCTTTACCTTTCTATAGAAAGCAGCAGTAGGCCATTCGGCCCTTCAAGCCTGCTCTGCCATTCAATAGGGACTCAGCTGATCATCTAACTCAGTGCCCTGTTCCTCACTTTGTCGCCCTTCGATCCCTTTAGCCCGAAATCTAACTCCAGTTCTGATGAAGAGCCGCTGAACCGAAAACGCTTAAGTTTGCTTTCTCTTTCCATGGATGCTACCCAAACCTGCTAAGTTCCTCCAGCAATTTCAGTTTTCGGTTTCAGATTTCCAGCATCTTTGCTATATCCAACTCCTTCTTGAAACATTCAGCGCTTTGGCTTCGACCACCTTCTGTGACAGAGAATTCCGCAGGCTCCTCACTCTCCTCATCCCAATCCGAAATGATCTGCCCTGCATCTTGGGACAGTAACCCCCTGAGTCATCAGGAACTTCCTTCCTGGGCTTACCCTGTCTTAGTCTTGTTGGAATTTTATAGATTTCTATGAGATTCCCCCTGATTGTTCTAAACTCCAGTGAATGTGATCCTAACCAATCCAGTCTCTCTCTCCTGGTGCAACAGACCTGCTAATCCAGGGATCTTCCCAGAGCTACTGAGGCAAAGACTAGTTGGACCATAGAACATAGAACATAGAACAGTACAGTACAGTACTGGTCTTTCGGCCCACGATGTTGTGCCGAACTTTTACCCTAAACCTAAGGTCTATCAAACCTCCACACCTACCTTATACTATCATCCATATACCTATCTAACAGCCGCTTAAATGCCCCTAATGAGGTTGACTCCACTACACTCTCCAGCAATGCATTCCACGCCCCGACCACTCTCTGAGTAAAGAACCTACCTCTGACGTCTCCCCTGCATCTACCTCCACTCACTTTAAAACTATGCCCCCTCGTCATAGCTACCCCCACCCTAGGAAAAAGTCTCTGGCTGTCCACTCTATCTCTACCTCTGATCATTTTGTACACCTCTATCAAGTTCTGATCATTTTGTACACCTCTGTCAAGTTCTGATCATTTTGTACACCTCTATCAAGTGACCATGATGAGTTAGTTCGCTAACAAGTATCTCACTCCTCTGAGCCTATTTTTCAGGTTTAACAGTAATTACTGCTGCCATCATTATTGAAGTCATTCCTTCATCAATGAAGAACAGACAATCCCAGGGGGAATGGCTAGGGTGAATCCTGAAAGGATATTTCGCCTTCTAGTGGAATCGAGGAATAAGTGCCATGGTTGAAACAGATCCCATGGAAGACATAATGAAAATTTTTTTCTTCCTGCGGTCATTTGTCTGTGTAAATCTTTTTCTCAGCGATCAGTAGAGAAAGAGGCATTGAA